TGCGGCGCTTTTTTTTCTTTTTATTCAGTCAATGAATATGCTTCACCTATTTTCAATGTCACGAGCCGCCACTGATTATTTTATATAATCCGACAATTCTATACAATATTACATACTATACTTATATATTTTATTAGACCATGGTGGATTTGTTTTGAGGTGGATGTGAGAAGGGGCAAGCAAAGTGTAGATCACTAGATCTGGGCGAGGTCCGGAACATTTTCAAAATTGCATTATTGAATTTGTTGAATTTATTTGAATTTAAAAACTTAAAAATACCTATTATTCTGAGTTTTTTACTTACATCTTGGAACCTATGCATTTTGGAAGAATATTGAAGAGGAAAAAAAGTATTAGAATTGAATTTTGCACAATATACTGTAAGTTAAAAATGTTTAAATTTATTACCGATGTTGCAAAATAGCAATAATTGATGAAAAAAAGGGAAAATAATCAAGTTTTTTGGATAAATTTTTTAAAATACTTTAATTGCTCCGAGGGCATTCTAATTAATAAAAATAAAATAGGTATTTTTTTAAATTTTTTTAAATATTTTTGCAATTTTGAAAATGTTCCGGACCTCGTCCAGATCTAGGGATCTACATTTTTATTATGTGAGTTGTACTAAAGGTATTCCAGCAAAAATTTGCTTGCCCCTCTTACATCCAAGAAGCGGAATATTTCGACAGATCAGTCCTGGTCTATATGGTAAGTTCCATATAATGCGTTTAGTGTAGAAAAATGGACACTGCCCTTTTGTTCCACACAATTATGCAAATACTTACATATATATTCTTATAAAGAGTGCAGTTATAAAAAGTGTATACAGTTGTGTCACATTTTGTTTAAATAAACTTACGTAAAAGAGAACCCGGCCTACAGCCGACCCTGTACCACATTGCAGACACCCCAACATTTCCGATCTCTGCTAATTATCTAAAATTGTTCGTCTAATGAAGTGTAAACGTATAAGTAAAAGCTGCTGTCTAGCAATTAAAGAAATGAGGAAACGAGGAATATTCCTGCAATTTACGCATATTTTCCCACATGTAAACCTAGTAGAAGAAAAATGTTAACAAGGCTGTAACTGATTCTAACAATTAAAGACATAGAGAGACATATGGAGATATAGTACGCATTCCTAAACAGTAGAGTGCGCTAGTGTTAATCTTGGAACACTAGATTCTCAGATAATTTTCAATTAAATTAAACTGTACAGGTTCCAAAAATTTGGCAGTATTTAAATGATAATTATTTTACATCAGTATTCACTAAGAATTAACCTGTGAAATACCTACAAAAGCCGAGCTAATTTTTTAAATCCAAGACCAATTATTTAAAAAAATATCGCTTCTGACTCAAAAAAAACTACAGTAAATGACGTTAGGTATTCTTCGCAATTGTGATCTCGATTTTCGCGCACTTGGAGGTGGTTCGGGGTCAGCGCCCGACTACCGTCTCCCATACCATAAACTAAAATAATTAAACTATATCAATCAGTGGTTAGTTGCGGTCGTGGTACGCTTGACTCTGGCTTAATAGAGCAACTTCGTGCTCCCATATAAATAACGAGCTGCCATCCGCGCAGAGTCTATTCTGGAACTTATCAAGTACAGGGCCTATCGAAAAATTGCAGACGTTGATTTATGCGAACCTGGCGGAACGATTTCTGGATAGATACTGTATGGGGCTTGTTATTTTCCTAGATATATCGCTGCTGATTGAACGCGGTGCTTTCGCTTGAATATACATGGTGTCTAGATACTTGGGGTGGCAGTGGCGGCTCGTCATATGAAGCAACTGAGGCCGGGCCTCATTGTAAAATTTGGCTCTCACACTGTATATTTTAATACCTACTATTCTACTATTAACCTAAATAAACAGTTATTTGAGCTAATTTCCAATTATTACATTTATCAAAAATCAAGATAACAGTATAAAATAATTATTTGAATATTGAATATCTCGCCGCTCGCCGTTTCTATTGGCGCGGCATTGGATGCTGATATTCCCCGCTAGTCCCCACTACAGTGAGGCCAGACTTTCTTAGCTTGTAGGTGCGTCACACTTGCTTACAATATGCTACAGTTCCCCCTCCATGCGAGGCGGTTGAATAACGTGGTTTTGGAGGGATCTGAGGCCGCTCAAAGCTGCTTATAGTTTCAGCCTTTAAGTTCGCGGTTAATGGACGCGTCGCATAGTACGCGGGTAGTGTTGTGAGTATGGGGTATAGTACAAAGGCTTTAAGGATAATAACAAGGCTGGTATTAATTTAAAGTAAATAAAAAACAACTTCCTTACAACAAAATAAAGTAAGACTGAATTTATCGTAATTTAATAGATACTTATTATATTATCAAATACCTACATAGGTATTCCAGATGCATTTAGTCGTTTGACCTTGAAAATTTAAAAATTTTTACCTGCGGCGCTTATTTTTTCTTTCTTGCCCTCCTAGTAAAAAAGCCACGGCCTCACCTATTTACAATTGCATGAGCCGCCACTGTGGAGTGAATATTTGAAAAGTAATTAATATGAGGTGGGATAACTCGATTGGTAGAAATATTTTTTGCAATTACAGTAATTTTTAACATCTGCTGACTTACCATATTGATACGGTGAAAACCTTTTTGGAACCGCTGACTGCGCCGATAGTTCTGGCTCTGTTTACAAGTTTTGGAGCATGCCTATTTGGAAACCGTTGTACGGGTCGTTTTTGACAGGCTGTAAGTGCAATGTGAGAAATTATTTATTAATTGCCAGCCAACAAATTCACATTTTGGTATATCTTTTTTATATCTCCCTTAATATGAGAGATAGATCTAAAAAAACTTGTATCACTGAAAAAGCGTTGTATACGAATTTGTAAGAACATAGGGACTACTACTAATTTTGTTTGTTCTATTTTTTGCCGATTTTAAACAAAAATCGATCAGGTTTTTTCAGGATCTTTTGTCATGAAAAATTTCTCCTCTGCCTTCACTAGGGATTTTTTGTTACATTTTTCGACTTTAAAAAAATCTACGAAAATTTAACAAAAGCCTAGAAAAAAAATGTTAAAAAACATTTTCGCTAGACGCCAATTTATTGAATCGAAGTTATTATGTATTACCTACATTTTAATTCCTTCGCATGATTTTCTGCCCTACGTTTTGCTGTGACTATGTTGATGTGAGCAACAACAAAAATATACTCCTAGCCCCAGACGATTTAATTTAACGCCTGGGTACTAAGAACATACATCTTCGAATATTGCTCGTATGGTACTGCTTCAATTTTAAGGATATCTGAAACAGAAAAGATGAGAAAAAATTCAAAGGCTGAGCAAAAGCAACTTTTAGAAATGTTTGTATTTGAATCTACTGAAATTTTCTATGTACTACTATAACCATTTAAAATTTTTTCTCTTGAGACAACATGGAAAAATGCCTTACAAAAAATTTCTAACATCCCTCATTTTATGCAAAAAAAGCTGTCACAACTGTAATCATGTATAAAAAGTATGTTCGTATAATTTCATGAGGAAATAGTTTAATTGCAGTAAAATTTACCTGATTTTTGAAGAAAGTAGTACATTTTTTGTCCAACAGTTGCAGTTTTGTTGGTGTTTCAAGGGTTGGTCTTTAATGACTAAAATAATGTCACAATGATTAAGAAATGTCAAAACTAAAACCTAATCTTTATTTCATGAACCATAAAGAACTGTGGAAGCAGATAAAATGTTATACACCACGCAGCAGTTAAGTATAATTTACCAGTCTCGGACTCCATTGTCAGCCCTCGCTCCGCTCGGGCGCAAAATCACCCTCGATTGGTAAATAATATCTCCTTTAGGGTGTAAATAACTATTTCCGTGCTGGATAAGGGAAGTTCGCAAGAGACTTTTTCCTCAACCTCTACGCCCGACACCGATCTCGCTGTGCATTAACGGACCAAAGCAACGCTGAGGCATTGTTTACCACAATAAAATACAGCAATAAACAACTATAAACCTCGTGTGGAACACCTACATTTATTGCAAATTGTTTTCGCCTTATAAAAAACCATGTTTATTGAGCAATTTTCTTTATTAGGTGTTATGTACGACGATTTACATTATCGTTCGCTGTAGTACATTATTTTTTCGCTATATATTACGAAGTCGAGCAGTGAGGGCTGTTAATTCTCAGTCTAATATGCGTAAAATAGTTTTTGACGATGATTTACGATCGTGTAATACATAAAATATATTTATCGCTATAAACCTTCGTGTAGATTTGTGTATGAGCGTGTCTGTGCACGATTACAATACTACAATGTTATATTACATGTGTACACCGATAGGTTTATGCGGCTTGCCGAAAACGAGACTGTAAGAGACCTGAATTTTAATCGAAATTATGGAAATTCCCGAATTTGTAAATATACTCATTTATACACTAGCCGCAAAACTTAAAAGACAAACATGATCCTACATCTTTAGATGATTTTCAGTAGGTTGTAACTTGGCACAAGGTAATGAAAATATAAGTAAATAGAAATCTCGGATCGTCATCAACCTTGCATCTATCCAACTAGATGAAGACATTACTGAGGTACTTGCCAAAGGTCTGAACTTCGCCATAGCCACCAAGACAATCCCAAAGGAGAAAATTATAAGTTCTTTGGTGACCATTTGCCGACGTCTACCAACAGACGTGGCTGAAAAAGTGAGAACCTGAACCGAAGGAAGATTCAAACCTTTAAAGGGCTTCAGAAGAATGAATCAATAACAATACTGCCTGCCGACAAGAGGAACGCAACAGTTGTACTGAACACCGTTGATACCGTTGATTACATTGCCAAAGTGGAAAACCTTTTGTTGGATCCCATTTACAAGAATATCCGAAACAACCCAGTCAAGAAACTTGAGAAGAACGTAGCTGCTGCAATCCGATCCTCAAGGTACTTCACAGGAGTTGGATCCATCGACCTTCTTTGCATTCCGTGACCAATTCTATGAACAGACGGAGGGAGCAGCAATGGGTTCACCGTTATCGTCAGTTCTGGCCAATATATACATGGAAGCCTTTGAGAAGAAAGCCCTGGAATCCACAACGTTGAAGCCTAAGTGCTGGTACCGATATGTTGACGACACCTTCATAATTTGGCCCCACGGACGTAACACCGTAGTGGATTTCCTGGATCACATCAGTGGAATACATCCAGATATCCAGTTTACCATGGAACTAGAGAAAAATGCCGCCCTTCCCTTCTTGGATGTTTTGGTTGAGAGGAAACCAGATGGCACTTTAGGACATCGACCAAGAACGGTAGTGACAATATTTTTAACATTAAAGCGATGTTTGAAACTGAAGTTTGTGTGTGAAAATTTGTGATTCTGAAGAGATTTTACAGAAAGCAAGCGAAATATGTTCGGAACTGCTGCCCACAAAATCCAGAAGCAGGTATGAAGCTGAGTTAACCCGATTTATGGACTGGCGACTAGCCAAAAATGTCCAAACTTTCTCAAAAAACGCAGTAATGGTGTATTTTGAAGAACTATCTAAGAAATATAAATCTTCGACGTTGTGGACGATTTTTTCGATGCTCAAGTCAACGTTAAGTGCCAATCACAACATAGATCTTGGAAGCTATAAAAAGTTGCAAGCGCTAATCAAACGAAAATCCGAAAACTACGTCCCAAAGAAGTCCCAAATCCTCACAGAAGATGATTTTTGCCGGTTTTTGACGAAAGCATCAGACGACAAATATTTACTTATCAAGGCGGTGGTGGCAGTTGGACTATCTGGGGCATGTCGAAGGGAGGAATTATGTTATCTCAAAATAGAAGACACCAAAGATTTCGGCAGTGCTATGCTGATTAAACTGAAGAATACAAAAACAAAGGTACCAAGGTGTTTTACAATTACAGGAAACCTTTACACTATCTTAAAAAAGTACTGTGCTCTTCGTCCTCCTAATCTGAAGACAGGCAGGTTTTTTTTAAACTATCAAAACGGAAAATGTTCAAGCCAAAACGTTGGCATCAACAAAATTGGAAACATGGCTAGGGAAATCGCCAAGTTTTTGATGCTAGAGAATCCAGAAAGTTACACGGGACATTGTTTTCGGCGTTCATCGGCCACAATTTTAGTCAATTCTGGCTCAAATCTGCTTGCCCTCAAACGCCATGGAGGGTGGAAATCCAGTACAGTTGCCGAAGGCTACGTTGATGACTGTTTGAGAAATAAAATGGAAGTTTCGAAAAAGATAGAGTCTTCAGTGTCTTCTGCTGCCACAGAACCAGAACAACGATCGTCTACTGGAATACAACAAGAAAACAACGACCGCACGCTGAAAAACTGCACTAAAAACACGACACCAAAAATATTCTCTATTACCGAAAACAAGGTGCACAATAATACTGCTTTTCCCAGCGTAACCTTGAAGGAATGTTCAAATGTTACCATAAATATTAAATATTAGTTTCTTTTGTTAATGCGTTAGCAATTTTCTTAATAAAAACGAGTTAAATTAAAAGTTGTATTTAATTTATTTTGTTAATGCTTTGGCAATTTTAGTAATAAAAACGATTTAATTTAAAATTTGATTTTTGTGGTCTCTGTTTGCAGTCGTATAAAAGGTATCGTAAAAAACTCGTTTGAAAACCTCTTTGCACACTCACTCGACTTGTGGACCTCGCCTTCGACTCGGTTCACCAATATGTCTCGCTCGTGTTCAAAGAGTCGTTTACAAACCTTGTTATACTATTAAGTTCTTTTTTCTATTAATTTAACTGTAGCTACTATACCGTCGTATAAAATAAATTTACATTTTACATACAAACTTTTCTCTTAACATAGAAACGCTAATCAAGCGAGCTTATGCGTTAAACCCATCCCCAGATACGATCTATTCGTGCGTTATTCGACGAAATGACGAAAAATAACCACGTCGAGCCGCTTTTACGTGTTCATCGAAGATTTTACGGACTCGAATAAGTCGCTTCATAAAATTAACGGCGATCCGGATTTAAATAAGCCAAGGAGCAGTGGCTCCACAGCTAAAAGATCACATCTTGTTACAAATAAGTATGTGTATAACACATGTTTAAATGTGGGAAGGTAGTTAAGATCCGTGAACTGATACGAGGCCCAGTGGCGTAGCGATTTTTTTTGTAATAACGGAGAGATATCTTGTTACTGATATAAAGTAAATTATTCGTCTAGAGATTCGATCAGGGCAGATTCGCGATAACTTTTTTCTAATTAAAAAATCTGCCTTGTCAGTATTAACTTTGGGAATTAATATATTAATATAGTGTTGTACTTTTATATTTACAATGCGGGAAGTTTTTTGTGGTATAATCATGGAAATAATATTCCCGAATTTTACACTTACTTTACATCATATGAAATTACTCTTTTTTCTCAACTCTGGTTATATTTTCGAGCTTACCCAAAAAGTCGCAATAATATCTACTTTTTAAATAAATCTAGTAAATTTGCACAAACGTAAATAAAAAATGTCGGTAATGAACCCAAACATACCAAATACCAAGATGGAACTTTAATTCAAATATTTATATCATAATGCTACAAATATCCCCGCTTGCGGTTTCCCGTTTGCTCTTTCCGTTCCCCTGCAATGGCGGCCAACCATCATTTCTGTGTCACTCCGTACACAGAGCGTATTTATACTTAAAAATATATTTAATTATATCTATTATAACGAACGCCACTGGCCATTTGTCTCACTGTAGCGTGCATTTCGCCTATCAACCGCACAATGCGAGAAAATCGGCCTCTTGAATTGAAAATGCTACAGTTATTGCGCCTCAACAGTCCAGACACCTACCCGTTTCCTGAATTAGCAGTCCAGACCGATCGCGCAGCACGAATTTTTACAGACATGTGCCGTGTCACTAGCGCATTACGGTCTTTAAAACGAGAATTTTTATGTGCTCTGATACTGCAATACCTTCTGAGGCGACAAGAAGTTCACGGGGTTAAACGTATATTCACCTACACCGTGTTTGTTTAGAAATCAAAATTTCGCACGACTAAATGTCTCAGAAATAAAAACATCTTATCAATAAATGTCTCGGAAATAAAAGATTACAGAAAAAACGTCCCAGAAGCGAATACTTCGTTTTAGCGTCTCAGAAATAAAAAATTACTACTAATAAATAAATGTCTCAGAAATAAAAACATTCTAGGATTGAATGTCTCAGAAATAAAAAAATTTACTGGTTTGAGGTGTCAGAAATTAAAATAATACTATCATCTCAAACATAAATCCTTAAAGGTCTCAGAAATAAAAAAACTTCCTACCATTATATCTCAGAAATAAATACTTTCTACGGTTGAATGTCACAGAAAATGAAAACATGGTTAAAAATCTCTTAAATGAAAAAAATTCCTACCATTATTTCTCAGAAATACTTCCTATGTTTCCTATGTCTCAGAAATAAAAAGCTCCTATGGTTAAAAATGACAGAAATAAAAAAACTTCCTATATTTCAAAATAAGTATTTAATACGATTAAATGAGTTAGACAAAAACTTCCAATAACTTAAGTGCCTCAGAAATAAAAACTTCCAGGAATAAGCATCTCAGAAACAACTGACTGCTAATAAATGTCTCAGACATAAAAACATCTCATGATTAAATATTAGAATTAAAAATTTCCTGTAGTTAAATTTTTTAGTAATAGAAAGTGCTCACGATCAAATGTCTTAGTAATAAAAGCTCAAATTTCTCAGAAAAATTTCCATTGATTAAATGCCTCATAAATAAAATCTGTTTTTTAAAATCTCAGAAACAAAAACTTCCCATGGCTAAAGGTCTGAAATAAAAACTTCCTATGGTTAAGCGTCTCAGAAATAATATGTCCACGATTAAACACCTCAGAAGCAAAAACTTTCCATTATTAATTGTCAATACCATATCTATTTTCCAAAATTATAAACTTAATATTATTAAACAAAAAATTCCTATTATTAAATATCTTGCGAATAAAATTAGTTAAATTTCTTAGAAATAATAATAATAATAATAATAATTTATTCGTAGAAAATACAGATAAAAAGTAAATCAATATTAAAAACTATACGAATAAACAATACTTGATAAGTTTACACTTGTTTCAAGAACATAAAGTAAAATATGAACATACATCACAAAATGCCTATCACAGAAAAACATCAAACATGTATATAATAAAACAAAAACAGGAAAAAATAAATACATAATTATACAGAGAGAAGAAAAGTATGTATGTATATATTTACGGAATCAGTCAATTCGGATTAATTGTATTAATAAAAATATTTACTTATTGTTGCCCGAGGAGTTTCTAATATGTACATTTTAACTTTCCTCTTGAATGCATACATTGATAGATTGCCTACTTTCAAAGAATCAGGTACAGTGTTATATAGTTTAGGTGCTAAATATAGTAGTGATCTTTGGCCCAAATTTTTTTGCATAAAGGGAGATAAGAACTTTTGTTTTCTTCTAGTTTCATAATTATGAGACATTTCATGCTTATTATTAGTATAATGATACCTACAAACACAGTTGTAGTAATAAAGTTGTCTTACATCGAAGAAATAATTCTTTATTAAATGTCTCGGAAATAAAAACTCTTAACTATTAAATATCTAAGAGATTTCCCTACATGAAATGCCAGAGAAATAAAACTTTTCGCCTCTAAAACTTCAAAAACTTTCTAAGGTTAAAAGTCTCAAAAATAAAAAAACTTCCTACTATTGAATACCTCAGAAATAAATTGTTCTTTTGGTTAAATGTCTCAGAAAAAACTGTTCACGATCTAAGAAAACAAAATTATTGAAATATGACTATTTAAAAAATAAACGACTATTAAATGTCTTATAAATAAAATTTCTTTTTCTTTTATAAAAAATCTTTGAAAATAAAAAGTTCCTAGTCTTCTGAGTCTCAAATAAAAATTTTTCACGATTAAATATCTAAAATAAAAATTTCTCATTAATCACTTATCAGGACTAAATATTATATCAAAAATAAAAACTTAATACTATTAAAAGTGTCAGAAATAAAATATTTCCATGGTCAAATACCTCAGAAGAACTTTCCACGATGAAATGTCTCAGAAATAAAACTTCCAAACTTTAACTATTAAATGTGTCAAAAATAAAAACTTTCCACGGTCAAATACCTCAGAAGAACTTTCCACGATGAAATGTCTCAGAAATAAAACTTCTCAACTTTAAAATCACAGAAATAAAAACTCCACGGTTAAATATACCAGAAAAAATCTTCCCTACATATCTGAAAAATAAAATGTC